GATATATTCGAAATGACAATAACAAAATTGCCTTGGAGATAGTTCTTGACATGGTCCTCTATATCGAAGTCTCGACATACTTTAGAAATTCCATTGCCAGATTATCAGTACTAAATTTCATAGCATCTGCAGTATATAATTCACGACCAGAAATGTCCATCAGCAGCCGTCATATAAGAATAATTAATTTACGGTGATCTGTACTGCCTAAGAGAGACTGAATTAAGTTTTGTACTCGGTATCACCTCAGAAATTCAAAGGATCTAGGAGCCTCAAGAGCTGACCTAAAAGCTGTCATTAAGGCCACCAAGTGCGTAACTGAGCTTCCACATATCTGGAGGCCCGATTCTGCATTTGGTGGCCTTCAGTTCATATACATAAATAACCAAAGTGAACCCATTTGAACTTCGGATATGCAAACACAAGAAAACTTAGGATTGCACACACAAGAAAATTTAGGATATGCACACAAGAAAACTAGATAATAGGAATTTTTTTTAAATGCCCTATCTACGAGGGAACGGAAAATCTCGCAGGGTAATCTGAGAAGAAAATTGAAAGTTCTAAGAAAGACCTGAAACCACATACCCTCGAATCAGCCGATGTTAAAAATGATTAAATAATTATTTTACATACTGAAAATTTAGTTTCGTATTCTTATCAGAAGTTACTAACATATAATTCCACTCTGGTGACTATGCAAATTTTTTCCGTCGGATCGAGTTAACCAAACGATAATGTAAAATTGATAATAAAATAAAAAGGAAACGTTAAAGAAGTTTAAAGAGATAATAAGAAATATATTTTGTCCTCGCATCCAAGCAGCCTTTTATCTTTTTCATGAAAAGTTGAAGACTGATTATTACATTTTTAAAAATAATTTCATCTAACCAGTGCAACGGTGTCACTAAGATGCGAGTGGTTGTTTACGGTGGAAGAGAATGCTAAGATTTAACTAAGGTGGAAGGACAATAAAAGAACGGACTTCAGAAAGACAGAACATAGCGATTGACTTGGTATTTAAAGTTTTGGAGATTGCAGATAACAAGGAAATACGAAAACGGAAGAGAGTTCCACAGGTAAGAAGTGCGAGAAAAGAAACTTTTAGAATAGAACATTTATATTTAACTACTTCAGCACTAAAAACGAATTACTTTCATTTCGCATATGCGTATAGACATAAATTCATGCTTAGTTACTCCCCAAATCAGCCGTATGTTAAGAATTTCTTTATTTTTTATAATATTCTATTTTCTTTGGCCTAGGATTGTTGCCAGCTAAAACCAGAAAGCCTATTCTGCCTTGGCTTGACTATTTAATCCGTAGCTGTGGGCACCAAGTCGTAATGTGATGTAATAGGCGAAAGTCGTCCGAAATTCTTAGATGAAGTTTTATAATTCTTACTTTTTGACTAGATTTTTTCTCATATTTTCTTAAAAAAAATCTGCAATTGATAAAAAGCCCAAAATACAAAATTGTCTTAAACATTCCAAAATATATATACATACATGTGTATTTCTAAATGTAAATATAAAAATGATCATTAAAGTCAACACTCAGAGGCGATAGGCTGTTTCATGCGGGACACAACCGTCAGGCCGTCTGACGATTGCGTCCAGCATGAAACAGCCTGTCGCCTCTGACTGTTGACTTCAATGTTCACTTTATATATATATTTACATACGCTGTATCTCTGATATTGGGCACCTTATCTCATAAATATAGCAAAACTATATTTCTTCATATATATATTTCTATATATAATCTCTCTGTCTTTTTTCTCTCTCTCTGTATGTATGTATATATATATATATATATATATATATATGACATAACGATATATATCTTTATATATCAAGAAGAATATTGGGGGAAAATATGTGACAAAGTTGAAACGTTTTCTTGTGACGCATTTCGTCCTTCAGGACTTCATTAGACTAAATTTAGTCTGATTATATCCTAAATGGCGAACCGCGCCACAAGAAAAAAAAACTGTGTGTGTGCGCGAGTGTGTAGTGAGAGAGAGAGAGAGAGAGAGGGAGAGAGAGAGAGAAAGAGAAAGAGAGAGGGCGAGAGAGGGGGTACAAATAGAGATAGAGTGAGAGTAGCAAAGAGAGTGGCGAGAGAGAAAGAAATAGAAAGATGTCGAATGTAATTTTATCGCAATTTTAGCGATATAAGCATATACAAGTTTTCATTTCTGTTCTTTCCCTTGTCATGTCTGAGGCAATGTAAGATAGATAGATAGATAGAAAGAAAGAAAAATTAAAGTGACTGAGAAGCACACGAATACACACACGCATAGTTAAATATATAGAGAGAAGATAAAGAGGTGAATAGAAAGCGAGATAGTAATAGATAGACAAAGAGACAAATAAAGTGACTTAGACAAAACAGAAAGAGAGAGAGATATATATTGAGAGAGAGAGAGAGAGAGAGAGAGAGAGAGAGAGAGAGAAGAAAGGAAAAAATGAATACGGACTTATATTCACAGTACTTTATCTCTGCCCGATGAAGCCCGATTTTGTATATTTTCATTTTCAACCTCCATGTTCATATATATATATATATATATATATATATATATATATATATATATATATATATATATATATATATATATATTGGTGCTGAAAGCTTTCCTGCCTAAGAACTTGCCTTTGACCAGGTTACTTTTGGTGAAATCCATTATAATAATTACTTTCGTTCGTAACTAAAATGAACCCTGGCATTTGACTCATAGAAATCAATCAAATTAAAAATGGTCAACTACATCAGGGATTCCTAACCTTTTAGCCGTCATACCTGTATAGCGAATATTCAGAGAAAATCATACCAAAATTGTTTGCTAAAAGTTTGCCACTGATTCATATACTGACTTTATGATGTATTAAAAATACCAAAGGGAGGTAACTAATAACGCTGATATGCGGTGGCTGCTACTGCTGCTACCGTATTAAAAGTACGATGCGATCCTACCACAGGATCACTGTAATATATATATATATATATATATATATATATATATATATATATATATATATATATATATATATATATAATAAACTTGACCATTGAAATATATATATATATATATATATATATATATATATATATATATATATATATATATATATATATATATGTATGTATATATATATAAAAAAGAAAGAACAGTAAGATATATAATCCGGTGTTCTTATAGATATTTTTATTTTTACAAAATAGTGCTCAATGTCAATTTTTCAGAGCATTAATATTATAAATTAATTGATTTAAAATATGGTTATTTCGCTACACAGTTCTAACCAGGTTTCAAAAATGGAAATTTTGTAATTAAATTAAAGACATTAGTTCCATTTCATCCTCAAGCGAATTATATATATATATATATATATATATATATATATATATATATATATATATATATATATATATATATATATATATATATATTAATTTAGTTTTATGTTCAAGATTAGTTTTAAGTTTTGTTGACAAAAATTAAATAATTTTTATTTATAAGTATAAAATTCAAAGTAATATATACTACTGGCAAGTTTATAAGCAGTAAATTCGACTTTGCCAACCGAACGATCCTTTGTGGCCGAGAGATTAGGCACGTCAAGCTAAATGATGGTTTCGTATAGGATGCCGGTTCGAATCCTATCAAAGGACGAATATTTTCTATGAAAATTTCTCGGACATTCAGGCCGGTAAATGTTATTTAATACTGTTTACTATAAACAGAGCATTTACTTAAATACTTGTATCTATAAAAAGAATGTTAAACATAAAAAATGTCTTTAATATATAGATATTTATTTTACGGTGATCCTGTGGTAGGATCGCATCGTACTAATAGAATAGAAGATTCATTCAGACACCTTCTCCCAAGAACCGTTATTTTGTGGGACAGACTCCCGAGAGGATGCTTCCCAGATCAATACAATCTTAACTTCTTCACGTCTAGGGTTAATCGATCCTACATATACTCATAATTTGCACTTCTTACCTCATCCTCTTCCGCTCATAAAACAATCAGAGTGTGTAATTCTTCGCATTGTGCATTGTGGTGTAATCAGCTCAGAGTGAGAACTCGAAGAACTGTGTTCGAATTCCAATCGTGCTCGTTAGAATCACTTACGCACAAATACCCTTGGGAAAGGTATGACTTCACCTCCTCTCTCCCTAGCTATGTGTTAAATAGCAGGACAGACTAAGTTCTTTAGCCTTAGTTGGCAACCAGTATAATGCAGAAAGAAATAGCAGACTCGTCAGTCATGTATCGAAAGATACATGATCGACAAAGCGTGTATCACGTATGGCACTTAACTAATTGGACGAATGCAGTAATAAAAAAATAAAATAAAAATAAAAATAGAACTACGTTTGAATATCTCGCAGAATTCCTTTACTTTTTTACCAAATAGCAGAACAGATTAACCCTTTCCCAGATTATGCACGAGTTTAGTTTCATCTAGCCCAAAATATCCATTGTGGTATTACTGGGATTAGCCTACGTATTATCTCCCGGTATAAAATAGCAGAGTATCTTGGTCAGTTTATCCCACCTTTTACTCTTAATATCAATAATGTCTATGTTTTTAATCATTTCACCCCACGTAAGGCACTAAAGCCACTAAGCCACACGTGTTTACTGAGTGTAAAACATTCAGAAAAAAAACAGAAACATTATTAAAGTGCGAAAAAAAAATAGAAGAGTAATCAAGAAGACAGTAGATATCGTATGATATTGCATTTAAATTTTTGAAGATCAAATTGACTGGAAAGCATGTAACCAAAATAGGGTTCCATAAGCGAGAAAAAAAAAACTGTTGGCGGAGAACTTAAGGTTACATCTAACTGATTCCGTTCTAAGTTGTGGCCAATGTAGTACCGCGCTTAAATTCATGAAGTCTAGGTACCATGGCGGAAATTTCATTTGAACAGTTACTATGAAAACCATTTATAGAAAAAGCAGCACCCGCACATCCAGGCCCACAGCACCTGGTATTCCCAAGTGGTTACCCATTTAAGTAATGACCAGGCACGACGTTGCTTAACTTCGATAATCGTACGGCAATCAGTGTTTCAACGTGATATCGTCATAGGAAAAAGCAATAGCTTATTTCTCCTTGGTACCAGTGGTCAGTATGCAAGTATATGTAAAGGCCAGGATTTGGAATCTTGATTTTCAAGACGGCCAGATATGCTCTCCGAAAATGGAAGACTTTCTTTCTTCTTCTCATAAGAATCTGTGCTAAACTAAGCTGAACATATTAAAAAAATAAATTATTATCAATTTAAAATCCAAGCAATTGTTTCAAAAATATCAACAGGCTGGTAGTAATTGTTTTGTTTGATATTGATCCAGAGAATTACGTAAAAGGTTAGACAGTGTGTCTTTGTATTAAATCGTTTCATATGAAATATTCAGTTGCCTTAACGATAATCTAGATATCATTTCGTGTGTTTCACGTAATGAAAAATTGAAGTCTGCACTAAGTTGACACTTCTGATAAGCAACATAGTCAAAACATTTTTATACAGAAATTCGCAAAATATAAAACTCAGGAGTCACTCTAAGTAGAGGGTTACTGTTAAAATGGTCATGATGAATGATGTGTGTGATGATGAACGAAATACGAAGTAAAGTTTATGAGAAGATGTAACGGTTAACCCTTGACTTATAGTGGTTAAGACTGAAGTGTTCTGGAAAGCACTTACGCGGGAGTCTCATGAAAAATGTGGCCGTTCTTGGTCAAAAGCTGTCTGTCTAGTGATCGCAAACGTAGTTCTATATTTATTAAGTTTTTACTACGTGTTCACCAAATACAAAGCTAAAGAGGCACTCAAGGTAGCGCGTTACTTACTGGGTTGGTTTTATGAGTGTAAGAAGTAAACTATACGAGGTACCTATCCTGTAATATTGACAGGTTAGTATATATATATATATATATATATATATATATATAAATAAAAAAAAAAGAAAGAACAGTAAGATATATAATCCGGTGTTCTTATAGATATTTTTATTTTTACAAAATAGTGCTCAATGTAAATTTACAAAGCATTAATATTATAAATTAATTGATTTAAAATATGTTTTTTCGCTACACAGTTCTAACCATGTTTCAAAATGGAAGCTAAATGTCCTGAATTTAATTTCCATTTCATCCTGAAGCGAATTCGCTTCAGGATGAAATGGAACTAATGTCTTTAGTTTAATTACAAAATTAAATTCGGGGTATTTAGCTTCCATTTTTGAAACATGGTTAGAACTGTGTAGCGAAAAAAAACATATTTTAAATCAATTAATTTATAATATATATATATATATATATATATATGTGTGTGTGTGTGTGTGTGTGTGTGTGTGTGTGTGTGTGATAGAAATTATTAGGAGGATTTGAGATAATTATAATTAAGTAATTCATCGAGATTGAAAGAAACCTCAACAGAATGCAGAAAGCACTGGACGGCCGTTTCGTCCTATATTTGGGACTCATCAGCAGTGCGCATCCACTACCGAGAATTGAAACCCAGACAGTTAAGTCATCAGGCAAACGTCCTACCAACTTCGGTGACGAAGAGGTAGCGAATTAGACTCGATATAGCGCCGCTCGATCACATATTCCGTGGTAGAACTTATCCGAATTTCCTTTAACTATAGGACTGTGCCCCACTAATAATTTCTATCATTTGTATATCCTTGCTTGAACCGGTTTCTAATGCTCTGGGTGGAGCGGCTTAGGGATAGTAGTCGTGGCTCGTGGGGATCTATTACCTGTACTATATATATATATATATATATATATATATATATATATATATATATATATATATATATACACAGAAACACTAATATTCTATGGTTATAATTTATTACATTGGAATCATAATCACGCTCCAATTCATCAGACATACAATGGGAAGGAACCTTTCTTTCAAATAACTTTTATTAAATACTGACGACAAGAAAGTTAGTTTTTCTAGTACCCTTTCGTTTTTCCGTTTTGTAGGAGTAAGGAAATACAAAAATTTTCCATAATTTTTATTGTCCCAATTGCTTTCGGCCACTTCTATAACCATTTTCAAGGTTTTGTCTCTGGTGTTAGTGTTTTCGACCAGAATTTTCTTCAAGGGTTCTTGTAAATTATGTGTTAATAGATATTTTTTTATAGCACTTTGGTCTTATAAGTGACACGTAAGACGTCTACTGAAGGAGGTGGTAGTATGTCCGATATAAGTGATTGATTTGTGACAAGAAACAGTTTTGTACTAGACAGTGAAATTGATACACTATATTGGTTCATCGCTAGTTTAGACTTGATGGGATTATTTTGATTAGTGACAACATGGTTTGCGGTCTTCCATTTTTATAATATATTGTACATTTTTCGTGTTTTTCGAGAAATACGGCAGAAATATGGTCTTTAATAATTCTTCGTATAGTGAATTCGCCCCGCTTATAATCATTGTGTATCTGATTGCAGTAAAATATGTTGATGCTTTGTTGTGTAGGATTTTTATTCCTGTTGCTTTTGTATTTTTTTTTGTAAGAATAATTTTATTTGTCTCTCATTTATATATTTGGGAAAATATTGTCGACTAATGTTTGTTTTGTGTTTTAGTTCACACAGAAATATTCTTTGGCATGAGGAATTTTGATTTTGCTCTATTTAAGAAGTTTATTATCACTGCTAGCATATCTTTCCGGATATTGGCAATCATAGTTTAGAAAACAATTTGTACTGGTGAGTTTTTTTTTTTTTTTTATATGGATAAGTGGTAAATACTTTGGATTTTGGTTCTATAGCAACATCAAGGAATGGGATTTATTATTAACTATAAGTTCATAGGTAAATTTTAGCGTTGGCTTTTTCAAAAGTTCATTTTAGATTTATAATTTTGTCCTTATTTTTTATCAAAATAAAAATGTCGTCAACGTACTTTGTGTAGATTTGTGGTTTATTTATATATTTTTTTCTCTGATTAGGCATTTCACAAGCGCTAATGATGTGGGCGACGTTTTCCATTTTCATACCAAACAGCCGAATCCAATTGGCGGTAGATGGTCTTCCGGACAGAACTGGCATTTAGGGCTTTGTCTCGGGTGGCTATTAGTAAGCTTTCTGCTAATCAATTCCCATGAATCGTTTATCTTAATGACCTTGTTATCCCTCTCAAACTGTTTAGGAAGAGTCATTGTGTCGCTTGCTTTTAGTTTCTCTTTCAGTATACTCTTTCTGTATTTTTATTATAAATTTATTATTGTATAGCAAATATATAATTTGTTATATAATAATAATAACAATAATAATAACAATAATAATAATAATAATAATGAGGAATAAAACAATTGCAAACTTGAATAGACATCCTCTACTGAATCTGTAGATGATGGAGCAGATGTTAACATCCAATGGGATTTTTTCTATAAACGCAGATCGAACAATGCAAGCAAATCCTCCAGACATTATTATAGAAGACAGAAAAGAAAAGAAAAAATTTTAGACACTGATTCACATGGGCATTCCAAGTGACAAAAACATATCTGCGAATTTTTTTATTTATAAAATGTGGCACTTAAAAACTAAATCTGTTCGTATTCTGGTTTGAGCTTTGGGTCTAATAAAGAAAGGAACTCAACAAAAAAAAATCAACAAAATCCACGGTGTACTATCTCTCCAGGAAATAAAAAAAATAGTTCTAACAAACAGCCAATATCCTTCGAAGACATTTGGCCATTTAAGTCGTTTTTGTTGTTAATAGCAGTCTTTTGTTGAATTAAGTGGAAACAAAAAAAAATTGTCATGTCGTTTGCTTGCCGTGGGTCATTGATCATGACCCAGCCTGTGATTGTACAAAAAATGCACGTCAAAAAGTATTTTTAATAATAATAATAATAAATCATCGCCAATACTCTGCCCGTACCAAACATGCTGACGTAGACAAAACCCGTACCCATCAGTGGCTCCGTAGTGCAAGGTTGAAAGCTGAAACTGAAGGTTTTATCCTTGCTGCACAGGACAAATGCTTGTTAACTAGGAATTATCAAGCACATATACTAAAATATTGTGTTAGCCCAAAATGCAGATTCTGTGATAAATATCCAGAAACAATTGATCATCTTGAATCAGGTTGCACGATATTGGCACCCACTGAATATAAAACCCGGCATGACAGAATGGGTCAATATCTGCACCGGAAAATTTGCAACTTCTACTGGAAGGAAACTGAAAGAAACTGGTATGAACACCACCCAGACCCGGTTACAGTGATCGGACCTGTTACAATTCTATGGGACTACACAATACACACTGACAGAACAATCAAAGCCAACCGCCCAGACATTGTTATTAAAGACCACAAACAAACAAAAAAGTGCCTCCTTATTGATATGGCAGTCCCTGCAGACTGCAATGTATCTTTGAAGATATGCAAAAAGCTGTCAAAATACAAGGATCTTGAAATAGAAATCTCAAAAATGTGGCACATGGGAACATCAACAATCCCTGTTGTAGTTAGAGCGCTAGAATTGGTTGGAAAAGATTCCAGTAGACTAATTGAAGGGATTCCTGGAAGCCCATGCCTCAAAGAGATACAAAGAATTGTTCTCACAACTAGGAAGGGCTTTGTCTATTTAATTTTTTTTTTGTCAGTGGAAAGTGTCATGATGCCATTTCTAACCTTAGGTCCCTGGGCGGAACCCGGGAAGAAATGTGTAAACGCCAGAAATCAAAGAAAATAAAAATAATAATAATAAAAATTGTACTCACAAATACAGCTCACACATTACGAAGAGCTTTATTTAAATTACATATGTGATTTTATTTCAATTATTTTACAAAAATAATCAGTAGAAAATGTCAGGTGATCATTTCTGATCTTAGGTCTCTGGTTGGGACCCAGATGGAAATGCCTATACAATAGAAATCAAAGGAAGTAATAATAATACTTTTGGCTCCAATTGCGTGTGCCATAAAGGTCCCTATCCAGTCATATATTTGTGCACTTCTCGTCGTATAGTTTGATTTATTCCTTTTATACGTAGCTGAAGGGTTTCATCTTTATACGTTTTGTTATATTTGCAATCATTGCATTTTTACATTAGTTTCAGGAGAAACAAAGAAAGCTGTAATAGACTGCTATGTAATATCAATCCCTGCAGATAATGTGGGGCCTGGCGGATAATATATGGTTCGACCGAAGTATTCTGTGGATAATATTTGCAGAGCAACGAAGAAGTCTAATAGAAAAAAGAACCCCCCCCCCAAAAAAAAAACACTTCTAATTAGCATCAACAAGAGTTAATATTTTTGCGACAAATAAAGAGAAGAGAAGGCTTGGAAAATTTGAAACTTATAAGGACATCCGGAAACCTCGAGAAATCTTTCTTTTTCTAATTTCAGATTTTTCAATTCTCTTTAAAAACACATCTTGACTTCGAGATTGTTACAGTTCTACAACTTCTTATTTCTCTTGCATTTTCCAGATATTTACTATTTTTTTTCTAACTTTCACTCGATTTTACAATTTCTTCTGCTGCATCACAGATATTCACGAGGTGATAAGTAAGATAGTCTTCTCCATGTCTTTGAGGACAGTATTTGATAGTTTTCTGTTTTCGCTATACTAATATTCACCCTATGAAAAGCCGAAGAGACACCCAAAGTAGAGGGCCTCTACATAGAAATCAAGGCAACAGAACTTCTCCTAGGGTCAGTAACATTGTAAGTGAGATGGAAACTCAGGTACCGAAACAAGTTCGCTCACATGTGAAGACTGAAAGACCCACAGAGCGAAGGGTTAGGGTTAGTCGCTCGGCGGTGCACAAGAATCCTCGACCCCCACTTAATTGGATTGGAATGCGTGATATCTTTTTCTTTTTTTTGTATTTCAAAGTTTTACACGATTTCATGGCTTTTTATTTTTAATTCTCCAGGACAGAAAGAAAAATTGCGAAAGGACTATAATTTTACATCGGTAAGATAATTAAATAATTTTGACGCGTGAATGTAAAGTATATAAATAAATAAATAAAGAAAGAAATAAAGAAAGAAAGAAAGAAGGATTGAAAAACAGAGACGGTCATAACAGAAAAAAGAAAGAAAGATATTGAGAACAATCAAAGGAAAATAAGTGAAAAAATTAATAAATAAATAAAGAAAGAAAGAAAAAAAAGGAAAAACAGAGACGAGCATGATAGAAAGAAAGAAAGAAAGAAAGAAAGAAAGAAAGAAAGAAAGAAAGAACAGAGACGGCTATAAACGAAAGAAAGAAGGAAAGAAAAACGGAGACGTTCATAACAGAAAGAAAGAAAGAAAGAAATATATTGACAAAATTCAAAGAAAAACGGGAAGAAAAAAAGGAAAAACAGAGACGAGCATGAAAGAAAGAAAGAAAGAAAGAAAGAAAGGAAAAAAGAAAAACAGAGAGGCCTATAAACGAAAGAAAGAAATATACCGAGAATCACTGGTGCAAACTAAGGTATTAGAAGCAATAAGATTATCGCTTAGTAGAATCACTGTGTAAGAGAGAAAAGGCAGTAAAAATCCGGGGTGGGGGCCGAAAAAGAAAACGGTACTGATTTCCCAAAATATATCCAAATAACTATATATCAGATTATTTCGGCCTGTTTTTTTCCTTCACACTCACTATGGAGTTATATAAAAGAAAAAAAGATAGAAAGAAAGAAAGAAAGAAAGAAAGAAACAAAGAAAGAAACAAACAAACAAACAAACAAACAAACAAACAAACAAACAAAGAAGTATGCAAGAAGAATTGAAAAGATTTTATAAAGAAAGAAGGAAAAAAATGTGTTAAAAAGCATCAAAGACTAAAGGAAAATCAGAAAAAAAGAAAAAAGAATGAAATAACTAATTAAAGATAAATGCACTGAGAAATATTAAAAGTAATGAAATGAAAAAGAAAGAAAGAGAAAAGAACGAAAAGCAAATAGAAAAAATGATTTTCAATAAAGAAAGATAGAAACAGAAAGAAGCCAAAATACATTGAGAAACATAAAAAGAATGAAATTAAAAAGAGAGTAAAAACGAAAAATAGAAATAAATGCATTGGGAAGCATTAAAGAATGAGAGAAAACAGAAAGAAAGAAAGAAAGAAAGAAAGAAAGAAAGAAAGAAAGGGAGAGAGAAAAAGAAAGGAAAGTATATTGAGAAATATTTAGGGAACGAAGTAAAAAGAAAGAAAGAAAAACAAATAGAAAGGAATGAATTGAGAAGACAAAGAGAGAACAAAGAAAGAAATAAATAAAAAAAGAAAAAAGAAAGAAAGAGAGAAAGAAAGGAAAATACATTAAGAAACATTAAAGGAATGAAGTTAAAAAGGAAGAAAGAAAAACAAATGGAAAGAAATGAATTGAAAAGCATCAAAGAAATAGAGAACAAAGAAAGAAAGAAAGAAAGAAAGAAAGAAAAAAAAAAAAGAAAGAAAGAAAAGAAAGGAAAATACATTAAGAAACATTAAAGGAATGAAGTTAAAAAGGAAGAAAGAAAAACAAATGGAAAGAAATGAATTGAAAAGCATCAAAGAAATAGAGAACAAAGAAAGAAAGAAAGAAAGAAAGAAAGAAAAAAGAAAGAAAGAGAGAAAGAAAGGAAAATACATTAAGAAACATTAAAGGAATGAAGTTAAAAAGGAAGAAAGAAAAACAAATGGAAAGAAATGAATTGAAAAGCATCAAAGAAATAGAGAACAAAGAAAGAAAGAAAGAAAGAAAGAAAGAAAGAAAAAAGAAAGAAAGAGAGAAAGAAAGGAAAATACATTAAGAAACATTAAAGGAATGAAGTTAAAAAGGAAGAAAGAAAAACAAATGGAAAGAAATGAATTGAAAAGCATCAAAGAAATAGAGAACAAAGAAAGAAAGAAAGAAAGAAAGAAAGAAAGAAAGGAAAATACATTGAGAAACATTAAAGAAAGTTACAAAGAAAGAAAGAAATAAAGAAAGAAACAATAAAAAAGGAATTTGAGAAATATAAATATGAATGGTATAAAACGAAATAGGGGGAGGAGAAAAAGAGGGAACTGCCCCGAGAAGAATAAACATAAAAGAAATAAAAACCTGAAAAAGAATGCCAGAAACAGACAAGAATAGAAAATGAAAGATTTTAAAACAAATGAAAACTGATGAAAGAAGATCAAATGGTTGTTAAATTTATAACGACATAAAGAGAAACAAAACTCGAAAAGGCTTCTAACTTTTTTTTTTTCAAAATGATAATGTTGGAATACATGAAAAATATTTTGCCGTGTGGATTGGCAAATTCTTTCTTTGGCTCCAAGTGAAACAATGAAAGTGATGCGAGGAAATATAGTCATGTGTTTCCACCATTAAAAGAATAATCAGTAAATAGACAAGAAGAGAAAAAAGCAAGCCGGTGAGATGATAGTGACGATAAAAAGAGTTATTTGGTGCAAATGACCAAAGGTAAAGAGTTAATTCTATGGCGCCTGACAATCTTCTTCTTTTACATTAAGAATCATACACAGAAAAAAGCAACATTAACGTAACCTTGTTTGCTAATTAACAAGTTATATTTAATTGTCATGTCTGCTTTGAAAAGATATGAACCTTGCGATCAGATGCTATATTGAATAAATAAATAAATAAATAGATAGATAGATAGATAGATAGATAGTGAGAGAGAAACAGACTAAGCCAGCTAGCTAGCTAGCTAGGTAGATAGATAGTGAGAGAGAGAAACATAGATAGTTAGATAGTAAGTGAGAAACAAAGATAGACGAGTACAAAAGAAAAGAAAGAAATTAATGAACCAGAACAGACAGATATGAGCAGAGCGCGAAAGAAAGCAAGAAAGAAAGAACTGAGTTGACATATATATATATATATATATATATATGTATGTGTGTAATTATGTATGTATGCATAGCTGGTCACTCGTATTCGAGGATACTCGTCTCCTATGACGGCTAGACAATCCCTATTGCGTTTGTATTTATTCAACATTCACACAGCCCACTTGTGATTTATAGTTCAACTATGCTGAGCAGACCTTAGTTACAGCTTGTGGGAAAGAGCGTGTTATCTAGCGTGTTCAACAATTTTCTCTTACATACATATATAAATCCCTCTTATTTCTATTGCCAAATATAATTTTAACAATTACAAAAATCTGTAATCTCTGCATAATATATGACTACGCCATCATTGTGATAAACAGATAGATTAAAATTCAAATTGTGTAACGGTCACTCCATACTCAGCACCTGAAGACTGCGTTGTGCATGAAATCCGAGTCGTGCTAGCGGTGAGGGATAATATATATATATATATATATATATATATATATATATATCCGATGTGATGAGGACGAATGTAATATATAAATTCTAACGTTCACGGCTTTAATCCAAAAGAGGGCCTGATACCGATAGTAGAACGATAACTATTTATTTATTATAATTTTATCATATAGACAAAACCATTTTACTCACTAAAAGATGCAACTTGGTTTCAGTGCATTTAAACAGCACTTCGACGGGTGAGAATCAAAAGGATTACGACTCTCAGCCGTCGAAGTGCAGTTGAATGCACCGAAACGAAGTTGCATCTTCGTAGTGAGCAAAATGGTTTTGTCTATATGATAAAATTATAATAAATAATATATATATATATATATATATATATATATAGTATGTGTATATTTATATATGCATACCTATATTTATATATAATGTATCCAATGTGTGTGTATATATATATATATATATATATATATATATATATATATATATATATATATATATATATATATATATATATATATATATATATATATATATATATGTATGTATTAAGATGTGCTATATTTATGGGATAAAGTGCTCAATATCAGAGATAGGGCGTAAAATATAAAGTGAACATAGAAGTCCACACTTAGAGGCCTCCTAAGTGTTGACTTCTATATTCACTTATATATATATATATATATATATATATATATATATATATATATATATATATATATATATATATATATATATATATATATATATATATATAATATCTATTAATTATGCATAAGCACATATACTGTATTTATATATACATATATAAGTATGTAAGTAAAAATAGAGCTCTATTATTATTTTTCTTATTAGTCGCTCGTTTGCCACAACATTACTCTTTGTATGTTGTCCGTCAACTGATTTTACCTTTTACGATAAGACTAGCTTTGATGTTTGCTCACAACGCTAAGCCAGATGGGGACGATAGATATAATGGCATTTATTTATTAATTTAAATTTTTTTTTTAGTCCATATTTGGGTAGATATTTGTACCTACAGATAGGCTAATGAAAGAATGTGGTGTTAAAATAGCAGAAAACGACTCGGCCGTTGGTCTCTAAGTCAAAAATATACACAAAATCCGCCTACGCTCCATGTTGGACTATGAATCCTTCTAAGAGTGCTTGTAAAACTAACGATCATATCGATTTTAATGATTTATGTTCTCCTGTTTATATAAAGACATAAAGGCGTTCAAAAGTTATAAACGCATCTATGCACATACATTGAGATGGTAAGAAAAATTCATTCGTATCTCACTGCCTCCAGACCTAAAGACCAAACACGATTAATTCCTATTGAAATAAATGTTTCTCCTTATACAATGGAATGTATCGTATATATCGGCTTTTTATTTTTCTGTCGGATTTATTCAGATTTGGTTGTTTGTTTTTCTTTCTAGTTATCAATTTGTCCATCTTTATGTCTCTCTGTCTATCGAGTCTTTTCATATCTATCTATCTATCTATCTATCTATCTATCTATCTATCTATCTATCTTAGTCTCTTCATATCTATATATCTATATATCTTAGTCTCTTCATATCTATCTATCTAGCTAGTTATTTTATTCAGATTTGTTTGTCTTTGTTTCTACTTAAAAATCTGTTCTTGTTTTTGTTATCAATCATTCACTTTTTTCTGTCTATATTAATCCATCGCTATTCCTATCTATCTATCTATCTATCTATCTATCTATCTATCTATCTATCTATCTATCTATCTTCAGACTGGTTCTGTTTGTGTTTGTTTCATCTTAACAATCTCTTCATTTCTCTCTCTCTCTCTCTCTCTCCCCTCTCCAGTTTGTTCACATCTATCTATCTATCTATCTATCTATCTATCTATCTATCTATCTATCTATCTATCATAGGTACCTTCACAGATTCGCTAAAAAATGAGCATACCATGATGAAAAACTTCTCCCAAATGAATAAAAACAAAGTTTTATGCGTCAAAATGTTTATATTATTATTAAGAGGTAAAACCAAAGGACTTTTGATGATTAAATTATAGTTTGTTGTTTTTTTTAATCTTTTCTAGAACTTTCGACATTTTGGTTAGAACTTCTGTTAACCAAAGATTACTATAAGAAATTTTAACTTTTTATTTTTTGCGGCGAGAAACACATTGATTTAGAAGTTCTTACAAAAATCAAATAATTGTCGGATTTTAATGAAACTTTCAGGACTTGTTCACAAATGATTCAAATTATTTTTAAATGGTTTCTTTTTTAGAGAATCTTGGTAGAAACAATATTTTTCACATTTTTTTCCCTCACTACTTATTTAATTTTACGAATTTTCGAGAAATTAATTTTGTACGCCTTAATGTTTTTATTAGTTATACACATAACACCTTGGAGAATTTAAATCATTATCGTTTTTGTAAAACAGGACCCTCAGTTACCGAAAATGTATCCAAAAAAAAAAAACAAAACAAATGAAGGAAAAACTGTAATGAGTCCCGATAAAAATAAAATAAATAAACAAAAATAAAAAGAATTAAAATTAAAATGAGGTAATTGCACTTTCCTTTAAAATCCTTATCTCTCTCTCTCTCTTTCTCTTCTCTCTCTCTCTTTCTCTCTCTGTCTTTTTCTCTAAACTTCTCTTTCTATTCTTCTGTTAACTAACGTGAAGTCAACCCTCAAGTAAAAAAAGATGAAACGAAGTAAAGACCGAACCCGGCCAAAAAACACTGAAAGTTTGCGGGAACAGAGCCTGCCGACTTATGACTGGAAACTAAGAAACACCAGGGAGGCCCCACGTATAACAATGAAAAAAGCAAGGAACGCCGGAAAATAAAATAATTTTGGCCAATCAAAAAATTCGCGCAAAGAGACTTTTGATGTTGGCCGCAAGCAGTGTTTCTACCTGAGTCTCGTAACCTTGTCAAAAGGATATAAGCTGACACCTCTGAGCTAGAAGTAGAAGGGACGGCGAGAGTGACGAACAGAGACGTGGCCACCGGGGAAACCAGTCATGAATGATGCATGAAGAAGTAGTTAAGAAGTTATCTACTAATGATATTTCGGTCCTGCTTAAGGCCGAAGAAAAACAGTAGATTGACGTTGACCTATTTTTAATATTACTACTATCCTTAGGACGGTCTGACTTCAAAACAACCTCTACTGGATATTCTCCAAGCGACTACCATTATCCACCTCATAAAAAACATTTTGCTTCACCGTATACGAAATGACTCACTCTAAAGAAAATAAATAAAAATATATTATTTATTTTATACTCTTGAGTCAGTTTGTTTTATTCCAAAGTTTTCACTCAAGAAAATACTATCACTCAAGTACAAAACTAAGACATTATTTAATCAGAAAAGCTTTTAATTGCTTTTATGAATATGATATGTTATGGGTAATATTGTTTTTAAGAAAAAACTCTGATGAATAATGATTTTTTACAAGAATTGTTTTCAATTTTTTAATTGTTAAAAATAATTTATAAGGTTTTAAGTCTTTTAAATGAATTTGTACCGTTTAGGTGATAATGTTGCTCTGGGGACAAACTCTCCGACTGATGCCAATCCTGGTTTGACGCAATCGGATGTCTATCCACACGGATGAGCTTTGATACAGCGAAAAAGTCTGTTTGTGGATGACACACACGGACATACAGACACACACATATATATATATTGTTGTACGTTATTTATATAGACACAATTATCTAAGTAAATGCTCTGTTTATGATAAACATTATTAACAACTTTTACCGGTCTGAATGTCCAAGAAATCTCATAGAAAATATGCGTCCTCCTCCTCCTCCGATAGATAGATAGATATGAACGTTCGAGGGGACTCATGAGAAGTTTGTAGTTTAAAAGCAATAATTCGACCTTCCTAACCAGACGCGAACTTCGTACCTAAACTGGTATAGCACGTCAAGCTATATGACGGTTCCATGTAGAATAGTGGTTCTATTCCTGTCGGAGGACGCATATTTTCTATGGGATTTTTCGGACATTCAGGCCGGTAAATGTTGTTAACACTGTTTATCATAAACATTGCATTTACTTAAATATTTGTGTATATATAAATCTCATATAACAATAAAATATATTAAAATAATTGTCGGACGTAATACATTACATAATATATGGCATTATATATATATATATATATATATATATATATATATATATATATATATATATATATATATATATATTAATATAAACTGGTAATTGATGACGTTTTCGTCAATGTGGACTTTATCAAAGCAAAATACGAAAATATATATAAGCTGATACAATTTTTCGTTCGTATTTTGCTTTGATAAAGTCCACATTCAGCAATTACCAGTTTTCCTATTGTCATTTTTATTCATAAATATTGTCTTCTCTACCGATTAAATCGGAGAAATTTTCATACATATATATATATATATATATATATATATATCTTATGGATATCTGTATTAGAGGAGACGCTCCGTATAAATTTATTTATTTCGCTGACAGGCGTTACACAAAGTTCTATTTGACTTTAAAACACACTCACTGTTTCAGATTTCTTCAAAGGCTTAACTGCGCAGTTTTCGTATACTATGACAAAGTAATTTAAAAAAGAATTAATGGGTTTATTTTTTTTTTAATACGACATATTTTTATTACTTTATTTTTAATGGATACTAGTATTTGTGTAGACGGTGCGTATTAATTTTTTTTAAAGTTATTTATTTTTTCTACCGCCCAGCAACAATTTGTTTAATAAGTCTTCTCGAATGAGCAGACTGGGAGACAAAATAAAAACTGTTTAAAAAGAAATTATCTATCTATCTATCTATCTATCTATCTATCTATCTATCTATCTATCTATCTATTTCAGTTTGTTCATCTATCCATCTATCGACCTATGCGTGTTCATCTATCTATGTATCTAAGTTTGTTCATCTATCTATCTATCTATCTATCTATCTATCTATCTATCTATCTATGTTCAACTATGTATCCATCACAGTTTGTTTATCTATCTATCTATCTATCTATCTATCTATCTATCTATCTATCTATCTATCTGTGTTCAACTAAGTATCCATCACAGTTTGTTTATCTATCTATCTATCTATCTATCTATCTATCTATCTATCTATCTATCTATCTTGTAGGTGGCATGGTGAAAAGTGATGTATTTTATGTCTTTCCCAGGGGCAAATTGCAGTGAGCTGAAGAGACTAGTTTGAGTTCGGGTCACCCATCCTAAATTCCCGTTTGATATCTGTTCCACTAGGCTTGATACATTTATAAAGTTATAATAAATAATCACAAATAAAAAGTATATAAATAGTAACTTTGGATTTAAATCCTGGACATACACAATTGAATATTATATCTCTTTTTAATTAACAAATGCAACTAAAAAGGATCGACAGGAAAAGTTAAATAAAGGATTGCCTTTTCAAATAAAAGACAGTTCGTAACTCTTCAGCCCACATATCCGTTGTTTATTTCCTCGTCACAATGACAGAACAATCTTTTTTTTTTCACTCGGAGTTGGTGATAAGGCATTAAGACATTGACCATAGCAGAACAACTTAGGATTAGTTTAACTAGAACTGTTTTACAAAACTACAACAATTGGCCTTCAAAGATACTTGGAAACTACAGAATACTGGATGATGATATGTGTCAAAGAACATAAAAGTAGTAAGCGACTTTGTTCAGTAATGGAGTTTCAAATGGGTGAAGAAATACAAGGAAAGCACAATACACAGATTGAAGCTGCAAAATGCTTAAAAAAGAAAGCAAAAGCAAATGCAACTGAGCAGATACAGAAACAATGGCAAGATAAACCGCTTCACAGTCAATACTCTGCCCGTATCAAACAAGCTGATGTAGACAAACCCTGTACCCATCAGTGGTTACGTAGTGCAGGGTTAAAAGCTGAAACGGAAGGTTTTATCCTTGCAGCACACGACCAATTCTTGTTAACTAGAAATTATCAAGCATAAATACTGAAAAATTGTGTTAGTTCAAAATGCAGATTCTGTGATAAATATCCAGAAACAGTTGACCAACTTGTAGCAGGCTGCGTGTTATTGGCACCCATTGAATATAAAACACGGCACGACAGATTGGGTCAATATCGGCACTGGAAACTATGCAACTTCTACAAAAAGGAAACTGAAAGAAATTGGTATGAACACCACCCTCGAGTTGGTTACGGAAAGAGGACCTGTAATAATTTTATGGTACTACAAAATACACACATACAGAAGAATAAAAGCTGATCTCTATGACATAGTGATTAAAGAATGCAAAAACAAAATGTTCCTTAATGATATGGCACTCCCTGAAATCTGTAATGTATCTTTGAAGATCTTCAAAAATCTATCAAAATACAAGGACCTTGAAATTGAAATCTCAAAAAATGAGGCACATGAGGACATTAATAATTCCATTTGTAGTTGGAGCCCTAATTGGAAAAGATTTCAGTAGACTCATTGAAGGGATCCCTGGAAGTCCATGCCTCAAAGAAATACAAAAGAAATGTTCTCCCAAGTACAGCCCACACTTTACGAAGGGCTTTATCGATGTAAATTTTATTTTTTGTCAGTGGAAAGTGTCATGATGCCATTTCTAACATTAGGTCTCTGCACGGGACCCGGAAAGAAACGTGTACACGCCAGAAATCAAAGGAAATAATAATAATAATAATAATAATAATAATAATAATAATAATAATAGGTCCCGTACCCATAAGCGGCTTGCTCACTCTCAAATTACAGGGCACACATACTGAAAAGATGTCTTAGTCCAAAATGCAGATTTTGTGATAAATATCCAGAAACAATTGACCATCTTGTATCAAGTTGCACGGTATTGGCACCCATTGAATATAAAACACGGCACGACAGAGTGGGACAATAATTGCAATGGAAAATCTGCAACTTCTACGGAAAGGAAACTGAAAGAAATTGATATGAACACCACCCAGACCCGGTTACTGAGATGAAATCTGTTACAATTTTTATGGGACTATCTAATACACACAGAGAGAACAAACAAAGCTAACCGCCCAGAAATAATTATTAGAGACCGCTGACAAAAAAAGTGCTTCATATTGATATGGCAGTCCCTGCAATCTGTAATGTATCTTTAAAAACAATCAAAATACAACCACCTTGGAATCAAAATCTCAAAAATTTGGCACAAATGAGAACATCAACAATTCCTGTTATAGTTGGAGCCCTCGGATTGGTTGGGAAAGATCTCAGTAGACTAAATGAAGGGATTCCTGGAAGCCCATGCCTTAAAGAAATTCAAAAGAATGTACTAACAAGTACAGCCTACACCTTAGGGAAGGCTTTATCGATGTAAAATATGTGATTTTTAAAAAAAAATTGCTTGTGGGTATGTCTTGATTAACCAAATAAATATCAGATCTACATGTGGGTCCACAATTCTATTTTTAGTTCTGACCATATGTCCCTCGCCTCTTTAACTTTCGGAAATAAAGTAACACTTTGTTTTTAAATTTCCTTTAAAATCATTTAATCACCAGTTACTTACCATCGCTTGAAGAAATAAAATCATAGAATTGAAACATGAAAGCTTTTGCGTAGCGATTTCAAAATGATTTTATTATAATCTCTTATAATAAAAATTCAGTATTAATAATAATAATAATTATTTTTATTATTATTATTATTATTATTATTATTATTATTATTATTTACATTATTCAGACTATTGTCCTCATCTTTGTCGCCATATTTATTACAACATTTCGGCCGTTGTACGCTCCGGCCTTCTTCAGGTGGTTGGAATGTCGAACTGAACCCTTTATTTCGCTCACTGGGGTAGTTCCACGTTCCATGTTTAATGGATATCATTTATCAGTTATCTCCTGTTAATTTCCCTCTGAAAGTTCTCCACTGCCTTAACCGGGTATTGAACTCACACTGTTTGGGTCCTGTCACTGGATCTAACCAACGAGCTTCATGCACAACGCAACCGTGAGGTCAGTTTTCAATCAGCACCTGACCATTACTTTGTGCAATTAAGAGTCGTTCCACCGGTGTGGTAAAAACATCTATATTTATTGTTAATATAAATGAGAGCTGTATTATGACACAGCGAGCATGATTTTATTAGCAACAACACTCAATGTGTGATATTTCATATTCACATAATATATATATAGGGAGTCCATAAAGTTCGTGTGCACTTTTAAAAATTTATAACTTTATTTGTATTTGCGATAGAAATAATTTGTAAAAAGGATTAGAAAGAAGTAAATCTATATTTCCTAAAGTTTTATTGAAATTTTATTTAAGTTTCCACATGTCCTCCATCATTAGCAATACAAAGGGTAATACGATTTTGCAGTTCACGGAAAACATTTGACAACTGATTTACAGTAATGCCTGAAATCACATTAGTTATTTTAGCTATACTTACAACTAGGTACATTAAACTTTAAAACATTTTTTATAGATTATTTCTATTGCAAATACAAATAAAGTTATAAATTTTTTAAAGCGCACACGAACTTTATGGACTCTCTCTCTCTCTCTCTCTCTCTCTCTCTCTCTATATATATATATATATATATATATATATATATATATATATATTTCATTAAATACGATAGACAAGGTGCTTTTATTTAGTTTTTCATATAATTTCTCATGCGATCTAATATTTTTTTCTTTTCAGATGATAAATTATATAATGTCCGAATGTGCTTTTATCCGAACACTTTCGTCTGTACATTTTTAGCCATTTTCAACGATTAAATATTTCCTCTATCACTCCTCATTGTCCTCGCTCCATCTCTAACCCCTTGCGTGCTAGTCCTTCCCGCCTTTCTTGGGTTGAATGATTATATATATATATATATATATATATATATATATATATATATATATATATATATATATATATAGTAGAGCCCGGCGTTGCCTGGGGATGTAACAGTAAGAGATAGATCAAGTATCGACCATGATAAATACTGAAAAATAAAATTGTCAAAGATTATTGTTTAAGGTTGACGGACACGCATGTCTTAATTTGTTTTTTTTTTGTTTTTTTGTTTTTTTACGAATTTGTCAAACCCAAACTCAAACAAAAACATTGTTTTCCATCGTTATGAGTCTATCGTTTGAGTAGAATTTTATTATAAACAATTGTCTTGTAAGTAGAATTTTTAAAGCATTCTGAATGTAAAGATAAAGAAAAAGTGTGCAAGACAATAAGAAACACTACTGCCCCCCCCAAGTGAAGTTTTGTTGAAATCGGTTGAAAAATGTAGAAAATCCGATCCCATATATAAACGAACACACACAAACAGACACACACACAAACAACCTGGGTTTTATACTAAGTATAACTTGATATGAGTTGTCCCCCTTTCATTCTGGCGACTTAATCGTGTTTTCAAATTGATTGTGTTTTTTCAATTTTTGATGCTGTCAGAACCACCGCAAGGTAATTTTACGTAGTCCCGTGAAGTTTTGTTGAAATCGGTTGAAAAATGTAGGAAGTCCGATCCAATATATAAATGTACAGACACACACACACACACAACCTGGGTTTTATAATAAGTAAGATATATATATATATATATATATATATATATATATATATATATATATGCAGGCATCATATATGTGTGTGTGTTTCTGTCAGTTTTCAAGGAAAGGTGGAAGTTTGAAATGAAAGGATATTGAAACAGATTTTAGTGCCACGGTGCTATAAATGACCTTACGGTTCAAAGATATTTTAAAACACGTGCACGTCGAGATTGCAGGCTTTTTCTTATTGATGCTGGGTCACCGTCCTTTGATGTGCACGCTTTTGATGTGAACGCCTTTGAAATGCAAGTTCATTTTCAGTCACGTGACGAAAAAATCTATTCCACTTCATAGCAGGTGAACCGACATTCGTTCCGAACTCCCGAGTGTTAGGAACTTTTGAAAAAAAGAAAACTCCATGAACTGTCCTCTCAACTTCTGCCCACTTATCTGGAAAACGATGAACGTGGAAAATGGTGGAATGTTCTCAGAAAGATCCACAGATTTTCGGAAATGTTTTTCCAAGTTTCCACCTGACATCAAATGACACTAGAAGAAATCCACGAAAAGGATTAACAGACATCACTTGT